CACATTTTAGTCGTTGCTACGATGCCACTACTGGTTAAAGAGGGTTATGGCGACTGTAACGCCTACCCCGGGTCCGGAAAACATTGACATGAGCGGGTGCGTCACGTCGACTCTGGGTCATGACAACGATTGTCTGTTTGACTTGTGGTGCATTATCACGTATGTAATGAATTTCCAGAACACAAATTATTCCACTTTCATATCGAGTAGGCACACGATCCTGTGGCGATCACAGAGCCCTCCATGTCGTTTGCCCCCTTCACTTGTCCCAGATGTGCCCGCCTCTGAAGAAGTCCTCATTTCCAACATTCAATTACCAGCCTGGTGGCTGGTTGAGTAGCCGACTAACTCTCCAGATGGCTAGGGTGCCAGAGACGCTACAAAGTTTCCATTTAGGATTAGTTACAGTGTTTGATTGACCATGGATTTTGAGTGGTTATCTGTAGACCTCAAGCATACCTCTACTCCATAAGGGCCAATAGGGATAAATAGCTAGGAGCACAAATTCCTTAAGCTTAAGAAGCTTAGCACTCGAGTGAATATTTTAAGAAAATTGAGGAATAAATATTGATAATTATGAAACATAGTATTAGCTTATGCTGTTTAATTTAGACGGGAACAATTGCTGTAGTTACAGTTAGCAGGAGCATAAATTGCGCACCCGCAACGGGATTACTTGCAGAATATCGAAAAGAAAAACGTGGGTAGGTGGCGAGGAGAGTATAATTGAGGGTGTGAAGTATTGCGTAGGCAATATTACATTTGGCTGACTAGACTTTTTGTAAGCAATCTGGTTATTGCAAAAGTACTTGATCCGGACGGCAGTTAATGGACGGCAGCGATGTCTCGAGCGTGAAGAGGCCTTGTAAAAGAGAATGAAATCAAATCAAAGTAGTCACTGCCCTGAAACACCTGTCCTCCTTCGTAGCTTTACAGGATTGACTAATCTTAACGCCTCTGTGTGATTGTTGGCCTTCAACTGGTCTTAGTTTTAGGGTGGCGGTAAAAATTTACAAACATTTGAAAAGTGACTTTGCTGTTGCATAGAAGCTAGTGATATTTTGCTATTCAAACCACAGGCCCACGTTACAAATGACAATGGATACTCTACTAGGGCAATACAAATTACATCACACCATGGAAAGGACAGAATAACATTACTTACCCATCAATTTAAGGCAGGCACATGTTAAAATAACATATTTGTGCGCTACATTATCTCTCATTTGGGATTTATCCACTAACTTCAGTTTTCAAAGTTAACTACTTGACAGCTCTGTTAAATAATTATTCAGCGGTCTTCTTGCAATTCGTAGTAGAGTAGGTGAGACACCACGGTAGACCTCCAAAACGATCGCCTTTGTCCCACCTTAGTCGGTGTCGCATCTAATCTCATCCAATTCTAGCACATATTCCGTGTCATGTTGAGACAAGTAAAGGCTACATCGACATAACACGTGAACTTTGTGGAAGTGACCGCCCGGGGCTGAAGACGTAAAGCGGAATGTATGAAAGTGAGAGACCACTTTGTTAGCAGATCAAAGAGCTGAGTTGATTTGTGGCTGCGGCTTATCCAGTTACTCGATTAAGTGCTAACATTGCAGAAAAATGTGCTTCTCTTTCGACACGTACTTAAATCAGCAAGTACCATTCTCAAGAATTGGAATTCGTCAAAGGACATATAGGACAACTGAGCTAGTTTTCTTCTAATCACTTTTGAGAGTGTGACGTTTAATGATTTTGTGGATCAAAACGTTCCCATTGGAGTCGATTTTCTCCTAGAACTAACAAAATTAAGGCATTATCTTTTATTCACCTTATTCAGGGTCCCCTTTCGAACCAGACTTGTAAGGAAGATGCTATTGTCAGCAACAAAATCCATCTTGATAAAAAAGCCTTTTGTATTGAAATGAATACCATTTCACTGCATGAAGGCATTACATTCAGTAGTGATAAAAAGGTTGCAAAATGTGGCAAATTGAGTGAAGAGAACAGAAGTTGTGAAGAAGGAGGGCCTGTAGCAATTAAAAAAAGATGCAGAGAACAAAATCAAAAAAGTGGCTCAATAATATTGTGATGATTGGAAAAAAAAGGTAAAGGTAATGATAATTAAATTGTTAAGGTCGGGGAAATAATTGGAAAAATGGCAAGTTCAAACGCAGGTAAGAAGAGCAGGAAGGGGGAACCAGAAAAAAAGCATAAAACTTCAAAAGTAATTCATCATCAAGGCCTCAAGAAAGTGAAAGTAAATCGTTGTGCAGGCTGATGGGAGGAAAGGAATGAC